GAGATTACTTTTCTATTTACGATGGCGTAAAAATTTTGTACCCTTACATCAAAAAATTTTGGAAAAAAATGTAAAAATTGTTTATTAATAAAAATTAATCAATAACATTAATCTAGATATCGGAGATCGTCAAGTACCTCGAATTATTACCGTAAATTAAATTTACATACCAATAAACGAAAAATTAGTGTACATCTCCAATAATTCGAGGTACTTGACGATCTCGGATATCTAGATTAATGTTATTAGTTAAAGTTTTTACATTTTTTTAAAACATTTTCTGATATAAGGGTTCTAAAATGTTACGTCATCGTAAAGAGAAAAAAAATCTCTATCAAATGAGCCTAACGAAAGGGTACATTGCCATTTAAAAAACTTCAAGTGTTATTCGTTACTCATTTGTTTTCTGAAATAAAAACAATTGAATGCTGTCTTATTATGGCAACTAAAATATTAAACAACTTTTGTATAAAATGTTTTTTTTTAAAGTTGATATCTACCAAGATATATACTATATTCCATACATAATGGGCACCCTGTATATAAATAATATATATATTATTATATATTTATTATATATAAAGATATAATTATATTTATAAAAATATATATATATTTATATACACAAATACAAGATTAATTTTTTTAAATTTCTTAAAAATTCTCTACAAGTTTTTTTTTCTATTATTCCATGCTGGGTTAATTTTCATGTAACGGACGCCACAGTGGTAAAGAGCATTCCCATGTTCGCCCCCCCGTTTGGAAAAGTAAGAGGTGTGATACAATAAAATCTAGGATAGAAGAGACTTGAGCCACCCCCTTAACAACATTCCCATGTTTGGCGCCGCGGGTGGCACCGAAAAAGAACTTTTCTCTCCGGAAAACTTAATTTTAGATAATTAGTTGAGATATCGAAGTTTTATGGCCGTATAAAAAGCGGTTCATAACGAAAAAATTCTTTATCTCAATCCCATAAAAAGTTCCTTTTAAAATTTAAACATTTTTTGTGCAAAATTAAATAAATAAAAATGTAATCATTTAGACGCACAGATGTTTTGAATAGATCCGATTTTCTTTTATACAATTAAGGAAAAACCCTCTTAAAGGGTCTCGAACAAAGTAAACAATGACCGGATGGGGTGTTCTTTTTTTTTGAGAGGGGGAAAATCGGATGAAGGATAAAGATGGTGTCCACCCCAGCCCTCGCCGGGTGGTCTTTATTGCGGGGGATCAACGACGCTCGTCGGGGGTTGAGATAAAGAAAATGACCGAACCTTATTTTGGGACGACCCCCATCAAGAAAGGGTTGGAAATTAGACGGGACGGAATTTGCTTAACCCCTTTCAACTTTTGTAATCCAACGATATCTTGAGAAATATGCTAAACTCGTTTCCATTTTAAGTTTATTCCCTTTTTTTATCATAGTTAAAAAGTAACACCCTCATTGAATTTTGTTCCAACCTAATGGGTATTATTTTTGCTAAAGGACGGTAGCAATAAATTTCTTTTACAAGCGACGCTCATATGGGTCTATTTAATAATGGCGAACATGCATGGACGGTTCTATCAGGGGAAAATCAACTATCGAGAAGAGGAGGCACGTACTTTACGGTGTTTGTCGGTCACCTTTTATCGGCGACTTGTATGCACCTGCGATTATCCAATAAAAACTTGTATGGATGTGTTCGAAACGATCACCTGCATACAAAACGGCCACCTGCACAATAAGAAAACGATGCAAATCGTATTTAGATCGGATTTATTTGTTATTTATAAAAAATAAATTTTCATAAATTCAAAAAATTGCTTGAAATTTCTATTTTAAAATGGTATGTAAAGATCGATATAATTCAAAATCAAATATTCTAAGATTTGTGATTATTTAAAAGAATTAGGAAAATTTTTAGAAATTCAAAAAATCGCTAAAATGAAGATATAGATATGATTTATAAATTAAATTAAAGCTTGAAATCTCTGTTTTAAAATGATATATAAAAATCGATATGTTGATTATTATAAAATATCAGAAACGATTTAAAATGTAATACTCTAAAATTTGTGAATATTTAAAAGAATTAGGAAAATTTGGAGAAATTCAAAAAATTGCTGTAACTTTATCTATGAAGATATGGATATGATTTATAACTTAAATTAAAGCTTGAAATCTCTATTTTAAAATGATATATAAAAATCGATATGTTGATTATTATAAAATATCAGAAACGGTTTAAAATGTAATACTCCAAAATTTGTGATTGTTTAAAAGAATGAGGAAAATTTGCCAAATTTCAAAAAATCGTTGTAACTTTATCTATGAAGATATAGAAATGATTTATAACTTAAATTAAAGCTTGAAATCTCTGTTTTAAAATGATATATAAATATCGATATGTTGATTATTAAAAAATATCAGAAACGGTTTAAAATGTAATACTCTAAAATTTGTGATTATTTAAAGAATCAGGAAAATTTGAAAAAGTTCAAAAAATCGCTGTGACCTTATCTATGAAGATATAGATGTGATTTATAACTTAAATGAAAGCTTGAAATCTCTATTTTAAAATGATATATAAAAATTAATATGTTGATTATTAAAAAATATCAGAAACGGTTTAAAATGTAATACTCTAAAATTTGTGATTATTTAAAAGAATGAGGAAAATTTTCCAAATTTCAAAAAATCGTTGTAACTTTATCTATGAAGATATAGAAATGATTTATAACTTAAATTAAAGCTTGAAATCTCTGTTTTAAAATGATATATCAATATCGATATGTTGATTATTAAAAAATATAAGAAACGGTTTAAAATCTAATACTCCAAAATTTGTAATTGTTTAAAAGAATGAAGAAAATTTGGCAAATTTCAAAAAATCGCTGTAACTTTATCTATGAAGATATGGATATGATTTATAACTTAAATTAAAGCTTGAAATCTCTGTTTTAAGATAGTATATAAAAATCGATATGTTGATTATTAAAAAATATCAGAAACGGTTTAAAATGTAATACTCTAAAATTTGTGATTATTTAAAAGAATAAGGAAATTTTAAAAAAATTCAAAAAACGCTGTGACTTTATCTATGAAGATATAGAAATGATTTATAACTTAAATTAAAGCTTGAAATCTCTGTTTTAAGATGGTATATAAAAATCGAAATGTTGATTATTATAAAATATCAGAAACGGTTTAAAATGTAATACTCTAAAATTTGTGATTATTTAAAAGAATTAGGAAAATTTTCCAAATTTCAAAAAATCGCTGTAACTTTATCTATGAAGATATGGATATGATTTATAACTTAAATTAAAGCTTGAAATCTCTATTTTAAAATGATATATAAAAATCGATATGTTGATTATTAAAAAATATCAGAAACGGTTTAAAATGAAATACTCTAAAATTTGTGATTATTTAAAAGAATGAGGAAAAGTTGGCAAACTTCAAAAAATCGCTGTAACTTTATCTATGAAGATATAGATATGATTTATAACTTAAATTAAAGCTTGAAATCTCTGTTTTAAGATAGTATATAAAAATCGATATGTTGATTATTAAAAAATATCAAAAACGGTTTAAAATGTAATACTCTAAAATTTGTGATTATTTAAAAGAATAAGGAAATTTTAAAAAAGTTCAAAAAATCGCTGTGACTTTATCTATGAAGATATAGATATGATTTATAACTTAAATTAAAGCTTGAAATCTCTATTTTAAGATGGTATATAAAAATCGATATGTTGATTATTAAAAAATATCAGAAACGGTTTAAAATGTAATACTCTAAAATTTGTGATTATTTAAAAGAATGAGGAAAATTTTCCAAACTTAAAAAAATCGCTGTAACTTTATTTATGAAGATATAGATATGATTTATAATTTAAATTAAAGCTTGAAATCTCTATTTTAAAATGATATATAAAAATCGATATGTTGATTATTAAAAAATATCAGAAACGATTTAAAATGTAATACTCTAAAATTTGTGATTATTAATAAAATCGCTGTAACTTTATCTATGAAGATATGGATATGATTTATAACTTAAATTGAAGTTTGAAATCTCTGTTTTAAAATGATGCTTAAATATCTGAACCACCCTATACCTATATATAATTTGATTTTTATCTTTTTATTGATTTATATCAGGAAATATAATTTAATACCAACGTAGTTAATAAAACGTTTTATCCCAAAATACGGTGAGTTTGAGTGTGAGTTTGGTTTAGGGTCATTCACCCGAGAATCGTCTCCGTCCGTTTCTGGGTAAAGCCGTGACAAGAACAGACTGTGAGCAAGTGCGCTCCTCTGCACTCCCGTTTTAATCAATTTCGTACCGGACTGACTCTCTACAAACTGCACATACCGTCGCTAACGTCGAAATATTTCTCTACTAAACTAGCCGGGAGAATGCGAAATACCAACCGAGTCGCGAATATAATGTTCTTTCGTGGAATTTTCATACTCGGATTCAAGTTGTTATACATAAAACGTAAACTGGAGGAATTTTTGTTGTTTATGTTTGAAAATACGAAATAAGAAGGGGGTTAAAATTATAGGTAACAAGTAATTCGGTGGTAAGGAAAGAAGAAAAAAAAGTTGACGACCGCTTGTTGACTGCGTCATTAAAGCTGGTCGTAAATTAGAGAAATGACAGTGGAAGTGGTATCGTTAAGTTTATATGTGTCAAGGAGGGCCGAAGAGCGTAAACTGTATCGATATGGCGCGCCGCGACGCTCTCTTACTCTTTCTATGGCGGTTTTATGGAACCCGTACGGCTTAAATTACTTATACACACTATAATAATAATAATAATACGCGGGTTCTTTTCTACACAATGTCTCACTTTGTTTCATTTCCATTCCTTAAGAAAAAGCTCAACTTCTAAACTAATTTATTGGGTGCTTGAAAATATTTATTAGTTCTTAATTTAATTGAATGGAAAGTAATAAAATTTTTAGTTTTGAATTTCTGTATAGGTGTCACTTATTCATTTCAGGCTATTTTTTCCTTCTTCAAGTGTCCATCTAATGCTTCAAACTGTTCGGGGACGTGGAACGAGTTTTTCATCCTTTCGAGCTGTCTAGGTAAGTAAAAAAAATCATAAAAAAGGCGTGTTCGTGCCTTTGTTTTTACCGATAATACTTATCGACGTAGGCGTGGTTATTTCGCTTTACCTTATCGTTTTAAACGTGGTACGTGACGAAAGAAAAAACAATCGGCCTTATTCCGCGAAATCTCTTTTGTTGGGGATTGGGGACGAAAGTTTTTGGGGGAGGGCTTCGCTTTACACCCAAAATGAAACCGGAGTAGTTAGTAGTTGGAGAGAAGAGAAAACGTGATCCGATCGCAGCCGCCTTCTAAATCTAACCGTTTTAACGTTAATTCTTATTTACTGTTCGGCGGAGGAAACGCGTGAAATGTTTTATTGGCCCCGAGGCTTTGAGTCGTTATTTCCTCTCCTTCACCGGGGTTCTATAATCCTCACAAATTTCGAACTTGTCACGACGACCATGTTTCAGCGTTCCTCGACTATGTATTTTAATGGGAGGGGTGTTTATTATTTTTTGACACGATGCAAAATAACCTTGAAATTTCAAATCATTTGGAACTTTTTTTTTATAGACTCTCGAGAGTTTTTTCGGGGACAGCTCTATCTAATTTTCATCAAGGTAAGAATTGTTTTATTATGTTATTAAATTATTAAGATTTAAAAAAAAATATATCAATCAACATTAATTATATCATTTATAGTCTGAAGGTGCACGGCTAAACCCGAAACTTTTAATGAAAAATATGTGCTGTATAACAATTAAAACAAGAAGGCAACTAGGCCTAGAACTAAATGCTTTTTTGTCACAGTTTAAAAATTTATACGAGTGGTATTTACAGGAGAGAAGGAACGACTTATATATCATTTTAAAGTTTAAAGTCTCCTTTTTAATTTGGTATAAGAATTACTTCATAGTTCATATAAATTCAAAAGTTACAATTTTTTAACGTTACATTGATTTTCAAGAGAAATTTCAAATTTCACCCTTAACTTTAAAGATCTATACAAGCTGTATTTGTTAGAAATAAGAAACGATTTATATATCATATTACAGTTTAAAGTCTCCTTTTTAATTTGGTATAAGAATTATTTCATAGTTCTTATAAATTCTAAAGTTACAACATTTTAAAATTACATTGATTCTCAAGAGAAATCTCAAATTTCACCTTTAACTTTAAAAATGTGTACTAGCTGTATTTTTTGAAAATAAGAAACAACTTATATATCATATTAAAGTTTAAAGTCTCCTTTTTAAATTGGTATAAGAATTACTTCATAGTTCATATAAATTCAGAAGTTACAAGTTTTTAAAGTTACATTGATTTTCAAGAGAAATATCAAATTAAAATTCAAAGTTTAAAAATCCATACAAGTGGTATTTATTGGAATTAAGAAACAATTCATATGTGATATTAAAGTTTAAAGTCTCCTTTTTAATTTGATGTAAGAATTATTTCATATTTCATATAAATTCAAAAGTTACAACTTTTTAACGTTACATTGATTTTCAAGCGAAATCTCAAATTAAAACGTAAACTTTAAAACTTGTTACAACTGGTATTTATTGGAAATAAGGAACGGGTTATATATCATATTAAAGTTTAAAGTCGCCTTTTTAATTTGGCATAAGAATTTTTTTATAGTTCACATAAATTTAAAAGTTACAACTTTTTAAAGTTACATTGATTTTCAAGAGAAATCTCAAATTTCACCTTTAACATTAAAAATGTGTACTAGCTGTATTATTTGGATATAAGAAACAATTCATATATGATATTAAAGTTTAAAGTATCCTTTTTAATTTGGTATAAGAATTATTTCATAGTTTTTATAAATTCTAAAGTTATAACATTTTAAAGTTACATTGATTTTCAAGAGAAATATTAAATTAAACCTCAAAGTTTAAAAATCCATACAAGCGGTATTTGTTGGAATTAAGAAACGATTTGTATATCATATTAAAGTTTAAAGTCTCCTTTTTAATTTGATGTAAGAATTATTTCATATTTCATATAAATTCCAAAGTTACGACTTTTTAACTTTACATTGATTTTCAAGAGAAATTTCAAATTTCATCCTTAACTTTAAAAATGTGTACTAGCTGTATTTTTTGGAAATAAGAAACAATTCATATGTTATATTAAAGTTTAAAGTCTCCTTTTTAATTTGATGTAAAAATTATTTCATAGTTCATATAAATTCAAAAGTTACAACTTTTTAACGTTACATTAATTTTCAAGAGAAATCTCAAATTTTAGCCTTAACTTTAAAAATGTGTACTAACCGTATTTTTTGGAAATAAGAAACAACTTATATATCATATTAAAGTTTAAAGTCTCCTTTTTAATTTGATGTAAGAATTATTTCATATTTCACATAAATTTAAAAGTTACAACATTTTAACGTTACATTAATTTTCAAGAGAAATATCAAATTAAAATTAAAAGTTTAAAAATCCATACAAGTGGTATTTATTGGAATTAAGAAACGATTTGTTTATCATATTAAAGTTTAAAGTCTCCTTTTTAGGTTGGTATAAGAATTACTTCATAGTTCATATAAATTCAAAAGTTACAACTTTTTAACTTTACATTGATTTTCAAGAGAAATATCAAATTAAAACGTAAACTTTAAAAACGTGTACTAGCTGTATTTTTTGGAAATAAAAAACAATTCATATGTGATATTAAAGTTTAAAGTCTCCTTTTTAATTTGCTATAATTATTATTTCATAGTTCATATAAATTCAAAAGTTACAACTTTTTAACGTTACATTGATTTTCAACAGAAATCTCAAATTTCACCTTTAACTTTAAAAATGTGTACTAGCTGTATTTTTTTGAAATAAGAAACAATTCATATGTTATATTAAAGGTTAAAGTCTCCTTTTTAATTCGCTATAATTATTATTTCATAGTTCATATAAATTCAAAACTTACAACATTTTAACGTTACATTGATTTTCAAGCGAAATCTCAAATTAAAACGTAAACTTTAAAACTTGTTACAACTGGTATTTATTGAAAATAAGGAAGGAGTTATATATCATATTAAAGTTTAAAGTCTCCTTTTTAATTTGGCATAAGAATTTTTTCATAGTTCATATAACTTCAAAAGTTATAACTTTTTAAAGTTACATTGATTTTCAAGAGAAATTTCAAATTTCACCCTTAACTTTAAAAATGTATACAAGCTGTATTTGTTGGAAATAAGAAACGGTTTATATATCATATTAAAGTTTAAAGTCTCCTTTTTAATTTGGTATAAGAATTATTTCATGGTGTATATAGATTCATAAGATACAAATTTTTTAAAATTATATAATAATTATATATAGTATTATTTGAGATATTTCATGATTTCCAATAACTTTCCAAAAATTTTTAGAAGATATCCAAGGATTTCTAACAATTTCAAAAAATTTTCAAAGATTTTAAGTAATTTTTGGGTACATATTTGAGATGCACACAATTTCCAAGAATTTTTAGAAAGACTCGTTGAAAACTCTCCGATTTTATCCCAAAAATTTTGTATTTTTCAATAACCAAGATTTCTCAGAGTACCTCAGTTCAAAAATTTAAGTATGTACCTAAAAATTATAAAGAATTTTTGGGATTTATTTGGTCGGATTCAATTTTATTTTTTAGAACTTGCAAGTATTTCCTACATTTTTAAAGGATTTTTGATTAAAAAATTTTATGAATTAATAACGACTGCTTAACATTTTTGCTAGGTTCTAGTGTTATTACAGATGTTTCATGATTACCAACAATTTTCCAAGAAAATTTTCAAGAAATTCTGGAAGATATCCAAGAATTTCTAATAATTTCAAAAAATTTTCAAAGATTTTAATTGATTCCTGGGTACGTATTTGAAATGCATCCGAACTGTCAAAATTTTTTAGACTATTTCGGAGAATTTCTGCAAAAAGAAAGTTTTCATCATCGCTCTCCAGTATAGGTTGGAGATAATCATAATATTGTATTTATTTTTAATCGTAAAAATATAATACAATTTATAAAAACTTAAAAATGGAAAGAAAATTTATTAGTTTAATTTGAGCTTTTTCATTTGTTCAGAGAACAGTGCATTCTGAATGGAGCTGAGTCCCGTCCTGTTACTGGCTCCTGCCCACCAATATGCTCGGTTCCTGTGCAGTTACGCCATGGAACGTGGCATGGGCGGTCCGCTCTTACGCCATTTGCGTGTTCCACTTCCTTTGATGACCAGTATGCCATCTTGTCTTTACAAATACCCAACTAAAAAGTACCCTCAAAATTGTATTAATAAAGTTTTAACGAAACTAATAAAAATGATATGTATGATAATTGATTTGGATTGTCCTACAAAAACCGGAAGGACTTGGGTCGTAAACATTCAGGTACCATACGGAATATGGTCGAAGCCCGGCCCTGGAGGGGTTGTTTTTATTGGAGGCTATTCTCACATCGTGTTGAGACATGATAAAATCTAACGAGTTGTCGCTACCGGATTTACGTCTCTCTTTCCGGTCTCTGAGATTCCTTCTATGTCAACGACGAATACTCAACGGGTATGGTGGTGTTTGTTGTATTATTCATAAGTGTGGCGAATAAAACAAAGAAATAGAAAAGGGGGACAAAAAAAAATAATTTTTGATTTTAAATTAGTAACAAAGTTATCTTTGTATGTATAAGTAAGGTAATAAATAAACGGGTTAAGATTTTTAACTCATATCTTAAAAAAAAAATGTTAATTGTCGGTGGCTTTGTACCCGCGCGATAAATTACTCTTTATTTTACGACTTAAGGTTAATTACGAAATTTTCATTTATTTTTTGTTTTGCATTTTTTACCCCTCATTTTCTCGGTTTCTTCTTTTTTTTTAAAATTTTTTTTTAAGGGCAGGTGCAGATTGTAATTTTTGCTACTAATACGAAAAAACCGTTCCGAAAAGGACGGCGATATCGCATAGAAACGAATCGAAGCGAGATGGTGATATCGACCCGGTGGTTACACGGTTTCCTCACGAGATAGAGCTTTTTCATCGAGTAGTTCAGCCGTTTCGACGCCAGATCGCACGCGCGTCGCTCCGAGCGCTAAACGTAGCTGCGAGATTCAGAGACTCTTTCAGTGCGCGATTGTCGCTTGTCGCTTGCACAGTCACTTGTTTTCTTATAGAGTCAGTTGCGACTTTGTTTTTTTTTTGTATTAACGAAGTTTGCGTGATATATTTTTTATATATTATATCGAGGAAGATGTATTTTAATTAATTGGGAATTTGAGAAAGTGTTGTGTATTTAAAGTTGTGTTTATTAAATAATTATTGTTGATTGATATTTTTGGGGAAAAATATAAACAAAAAATTAAATGAATTTTTAAATTTTTTCTTTTTAACTTCGACCCATCGTCAACGTGGCTTTGATAAATAATTCGACGTGGTGCTTCTTGTAAACCGTCACAATCATCCTAACAATTGGTGATTCGGGGGCTTGTGCTCCACCAACCCTGTACGACCATGTGCATCCACCTGGAAATTCGCCAGCCACGGGAGTGGGCTCTGCCACCGGGGTGACGTGGTGGTCAATGATGAATGGTGGTTTATACGAGGAAAGTCCTCCACCCGCGCCTCAGAGCGCGGCGACCCCAATCAGCAACAGTGGGATGACGAGTCCTGCAACGGTTCCTCCACCAACAGCGACCACATCAGCCACATCGAGTTCATCTCCAGCGAGTGTCACCAGCAACAGCGGCTCCGTAGGTCCCTTACACATCCCCGCCAAAAGAATCACCACTGGGTACTCGGAATGCACCGAACCAAGCGTCATCAGGCATTCTCATCACGGTCAACCATGGAGTTATTCCCCGGATACTCATCATTCAGCTGGTTTCGATGGGTTGAATCATCAGTATCCGAATACCTCTTCATATTATAATTTATCCACCGATCCGAGTCATCGAGAACGAAAGGGTTTAGCGCCGTTTTGGAACCCAGTTGCAACCGCTGCTGGTACGACACCTGAATATACTAAATATTCAAGTGCCTCAGCCGCGGGGGGTGGACCTAGTGATCCTTCATCGGTAAGTTCGTGTCACCAGAGCTTCTCATCACCGTCCTGGTGCAATTATTCCCCGTATTCAACGGCGACGCGGCACCACGTCGATCCACACCAACCGGTGCCATACCTCCCAGCTGATGATAGAGGAAGAGTTGCTGCCGCGGCCGCGATGGTCGCTGAATCCGCCGGGTTCACGCACGCACACGACACCGGGTATGCGAGGTACGCCCCTGACCCTGTACCATCAACACCGTATCCTCCACCAGGTGAGTTACTTCAAGAATTTCTACCACAAAAAAAAAAAAACGATTCGACCTCCAATTACACACCGATAATTAAACACCTATTTTTTATACCAATTAATTCCAATTTGCCTACTTTTTAATTAAGGTTTCAATTTAAATTGATTTAAAAACAAAATATATAATCATTTTAACCACGTGCAATATCAATATCAAAATCAAATATAAAAATTTTTTATTTATTTTTTTAAATCACTAAGAGATGGCGCTAGTTACATCGAATACTCGCCCTAAACTAGAAAGTAGGCTTTGCCTCACCCCATTCAAGTACCTATTTAATATTTACTAAGGTTGGATAAAGATAAAAACATTCTTTTAAGAATACTTTAAATTTTTTAATTTAATTTATGACTCAAAAAAAAACAAATAATAAGAAAAGAAAGTGTACTAAATTGGTTATAGTTGAATAAAGATCGAGAGTAACACAAACGATATAAATTCGGGGGCAATAAAGTTTTACAACAATCATAACGAGCGTTCATTGAGACATATTTTTTTTTTTCAATGCTAAACGTCGCGTTTTACACTAGGTCAGTTTTATAGCCATAGTAAACCCGTAATAGTGATTTAAACATTCCGAGCAGGTTTTTTTTCCTTTCCCATTCTTTATTACTTCATTATTATTATTATGTATGTACAGGGTGGTTCAAATTCGATGTACGAATAGGCTATAATATCTCCGAAACTATAAGAGTTAGAAAAAAAGTAGCTTACATGTCTCGATCTCTTTTTTTAAATAAATTCCAATGCCGAAAACCTCAAAGCGATTTTTCGGTTTTAGATTTTGACATATTATGACACTTTTCGTTTTTTTTAATGGAAACAACCACTTAAATTCGCTTATTAAATTCGTTATTTTTTTCTGATTACAAAAATATGGGGTTATATAGGTGTATTTCTTATTGTTTTAGAATAAAACCAAAAATAAACTTTTTTTTAGTGTCGTTAAAGAAATTACAGTTTCCTGTACTATAACTAAAAATTATTCTACTAAAAATTTATATAAAATTTACTTTATTTTCTAATATGTAACATTCTAACATGTTAAATTTTCCGTAATTTTTTTAATCCATCTTAAAAAACAAGATTTTTAATTTGACACTTCAGAAAATTTTTGTTGCTATGTTAATAATAATATTAAATATTAATAAAAAATGTTTTGTGTAAAACAAATATAAATGAAGTAGTTCAACAAATATATTTGTTTCAAATATCAGAAATATGTTTTTTTTTAATTTTTAGTTGTAATTTACAGGAAACTGTAAATTTAATTTTTTTGACAACACTAAAAAAAGTTTATTTTTAACTTTATTCTAAAACAATAAGAAATAGACCCTACCTTTTTGTAATCAGAAAAAAATAACGAATTTAATAAGCGAATAATTAGTGATTATTTCCATTTAAAAAAACGAAAATTGTCATGACATCTCAAAATCTAAAATCGAAAAATTTTGACTACATCATGAAATTCTCTCTAAAAAAGTGTTCATAAACATAATACTCCCCTAATAATAACAACCAAGCTAATTGCACTTGTTGGTTTTACGATATTTTCAATTTTGGCCTCTAGGGGAAAAACAAAAGACGATAGCGCTTTGAGGTTTTCGGAATTAGTAGTTTCTCAAAAAACGAGATCATGACATATAAGCTACTTTTTTTCTAACTCTTATAGTTTCCGAGTTAGCGTATCCGGACATTGAATTTGAACCACCCTGTACATTTTGACCATCCTGTACAGGGTGGTTAATCAAGAGGTATTATCGGAAACGGTGAGTGCTAAAAAGTTAAAATATATTATTATTTTAGGCTTATTTTTTCCCAAAATTGCCAAGTTAATTCTGATTTATTAAAATTTTCGATCAAGTTGAATTTGAATCTTTATTGTTCAACTTTTTGAGTTTTTAATTAATGCAGAAATGTATTTGGTACTATAACGTAGTAGCCAAAATCACTTTTAGACCATTAATGAAATAGTAGATGAGAAACTGCAATTTCAATTATTAAAGAAGTTAAAGCTGAGGTTGGTTGCATTAAACATTAAAGAATAATAGTCCAGGTTAATTATTAAAGCTGTTAAAGTGATTGAAGCCGAGGTCGCTTAAACCCGAGGTGCTACAATTTAGATCATTAAAGCATTTCTGACGTCAACGTTTATAGTCTTAACTCATCATCATTTGGAAAATCTTTTTCTTTTCATTTTTAACACTCATTTTTTTATAAGTTCAACCTAATTGTGCAAAATTGTTTCTGTATGGCAAAAAATTCTCTGCCTCAACATTATGTATGCAACATTATTCTAAACACCTCTTGGAACTTTACAAATTAATTTTGATTGTGTTGTATTGATTTTGAACTTGTGGCAAAATACATCTAATAAACCTGAATTAATTAATATTTGTCTAAATGATACTTTTGAGTTCGGATTTTTGAATTTTAGCTTTTTTGTACTTAGTCTCAAATCTATTGCCATATAAGAATGATCCAAGCTGAAATTAATAAGAAGACTGTTTTTTTTTTCTTTTGGGGTAGTATCAAGATATTTCCCATTATCTTTTTTGACATAATTAAGTCTTTGCTGCTTTTTGGCTTATTGACTTTGTTTCCAAGCTTATTTTAATATGTTACAATCATTTAGACACCAATTATAGTTTGCCAAAAGGCAGATGTTGACTTTGAAAGTATGGCAAAATATCTTCAATCTTCAAAGTATTAATATTTATGTGAATGTTGATGCAAAATTGCCAAGTTAATTCTGATTTATTAAAATTTTCGATCAAGTTGAATTTGAATCTTTATTGTTCAACTTTTTGAGTTTTTATTTAATGCAGAATTATTAGAAGTATTTGGTACAATAACGTAGTAGCCAAAATCACTTTTAGACCATTAATGAAATAGTAGATGAGAAACTGCAATTTCAATTATTAAAGAAGTTAAAGCTGAGGTTGGTTTCGACTGAAATTTAAAACATTAAAGAATAATAGTCCAGCTTGTCATTTCTGACGTCAACGTTTTTTAGTCTTTAACTCATCATGATTTGGAAAATCTTTTTCTGTTCATTTTTGACTCATTTTTTGCAAAACGTATTAGTGAAAGAGTAGCTGAGGAACTGCGATTTCAATTATTAAAGAAGTTAAAGCTGAGGTTGGTTTCGACTGAAATTTAAAACATTAAAGAATAATAGTCCAGGTTGATTATGGCCGAAGTAAGCATATTAAAGCTGCTAAAGAGATTGAAGCCAAGGTCGTTTAGACCCGAGGCGCTACAATTTGGATCATTAAAGCATTTCTGACGTCAATGTTTATAGTCTTTAACTCAACATCATTTGGAAAATCTTTTTTCGTTTAATACAACTTTATTTATTATAGTTGTTTATTAAGCATAGTGAATTGTTAAAATTGTGCCAAATTGTCTCTGTATGGCAAAAAATTCTCTGCCTCAACATTATGTATGCAACATTATTCTAAACACCACTTGGAACTTTACAAATTAATTTTGATTGTGTTGTATTGATTTTGAACTTTTGGCAAAATACATCTAACAAACCTGAATTAATTAATATTTGTCTAAATGATACTTTTGAGTTTTAGTCTCAAATCTATTGCCATATAAGAATGATCCAAGCTGAAATTAATAAGAAGAGTGTTTTTTTTTCTTTTGGGGGAGTATCAAGATATTTCCCATTATCTTTTTTGACACAATTAAGTCTTTGCTGCTTTTTGCCTTATTGACTTTGTTTCCAAGCTTATTTTAATATGTTACAATCATTTAGACACCAATTATAGTTTGCCAAAAGGCAGATGTTGACTTTGAAAGTATGGCAAAATATTTTCAATCTTCAAAGTGTCAATATTTATGTAAATTTTGATGCTTTGAAGATTGCATTTCCTAAATTCTTTGCAGAAATCAGTTTTTGCTGTTTCTATTTTCCAGTATTTGGTAAGATCAAGTTTTTTATGTCATTAAATCCAAAGTTAAGTTTTTATTTGTCTAAATTTTAAAAAATTGAAATTTCAAAAATGTCCAAAAGAGAGATATCTAATATACGCTATTAATACATAGATGGCGCTACGTTATATACGATATTAATATATATTTTAACTTATTGGTACTCACTAATTTTTAGATACCTTATATATAAATCCAAAAAGAACCCAAATTAATATTATTTAAAAAAAAATTCTCTTTTTTGTTTCTTCACTTCCAACTAATCATTCAAAGTGATTTGGGGACCAACCCCGTTTCTCTCTTCAGGCTCACTGGGTTCAATGGGGGTGAGCGTCCCTTGCGGAACCGGAACGAACCCATTAGAATGGACCGGTCAAGTAACTGTACGAAAAAAACGTAAACCATACTCGAAATTTCAAACGTTAGAATTGGAAAAGGAGTTTCTCTTCAACGCTTACGTCTCGAAACAGAAGCGATGGGAGTTGGCGCGAAATTTGAATCTAACCGAGCGACAGGTGAAAATATGGTTTCAAAATCGGCGGATGAAGAATAAAAAGAATAATCAGCGACAACAAGCGCAACAGGCCAATAATAATAATGTTAGCGCTAATAATCAAAATCATCATGCTGGTCATCACCATCCCGGTCATCATGTGCACGCTCAACATCACGTGGTTAATCATCACGTGGCAGCGAATGGTGCTTTAAAGCATCATCAGTGACCTATAGGGTTTTCCGGGGTCGTTCTTGGCCATCATCACCAACAGGGTGGTTTGGTTAATTAAATACGTATCTCGGAACTATTTAGCCGTGCCAAAGATGATGATGATGATTATGATGATGAGGAAAAAAATGTTGAAAAGTTAAAAAAAAATTTAATTTCTTTTTGAAAGAGATTAGTTAATAAAATTTTTAAGAACGAAAAAGACAGGGATTTGTGCAACGTTTTTTTATAATTAGTTATAATTCGCTAATTATTATTGATTAATTAAAGTGTAATTTATGATCGATCGAATTTTTCTGAACGTTGTTTTTTTTTGTTTTTTTTGTCGTTAGTTTGTTCAAGAACTTTGTACATATTAAAAAAAAGGTTAAAGTTTAGCGTAAGTCTATAAATATAAATATTATTATTAAAGATGTCGACTGTACTAGTAGGTATTAAGCGTAAAGTTTAATTTAGTTTAAAAAAAAACGATGTGAAAAAGAAAGCGAGGAAGAAAGAAAGCGGTTTTAAGAAGATAAAAGTAATATTTAATATAATCAATGTTGCCCGTAGTTTTTTGAATGTGTATAGTAACTTATTACGCTCCGATTAAATAATAAAAAGTTAATTCAATAAAAATTCCCCCCTTTTACCATTAAATAAAAAAATTAACCTCAACACCCTTTTTTATTTCCCTTTTCCAACACAATTTTACAACAAAATTCTAAACCTGTGTTAATTTTTTAAAGCGAACTGAAACAAAAAATGTAAATAATAATATTATAAAAAATAATGCTTTTTTTAAAATAATAAAAACGAAAATAATTAAAATTTTATTTATTATTTATTTTAATCAAAATTTAAATCACAAAAATATTCAAAAAATCTTATTTAATTAAGATTTTTAAGAGGAGTGTAAATTAACGAACCCACGAATGAATAGTAATAATGATTAAAAATAATTACAAATAATTAAAAATAATTAAAATTAAAAAAACCTTCTCTAGAAAGCCGAATTTTTTGAATTAGAAGAGAAGATCATTGCCATATAATTGTAAATTAAAATTAAAATTTAGAATTATTACTTTTAGTGTGGCCCCTCCAAAAAAAAAAACAAAAAAAAATGAATTAAAATAAAAAAAATGATGCACTCGTGCGTAAAGGGCTTTAACCTTAATAAATAAATGAAGAAAAGTCAAAAAAAATAGTCAACGAGGTGTAAATACAGAAAGATATACAAAGAAATCGTAGATTTTAAAAGAAATGTATTATTATATTAATTTACATTTGATCTCCGATTATTATTAATAAATTATTAATTATTGAAGGTTGAATACTTATTTTTTTTTTTAATAATCTAAATTTAAAGAATTGTGTTCAAACTAAAAAAAATATTTGTAAAAATTGAGGTTGCCTCTTTCTCTGTTTCACTTATTCCCTGAGTTCCTATCCTCCATCCTTTTTTAATGTTATCTATTTAAATCATTTTCTTTCCTATTGTATGTATATGTTCTCTGATTTTTTTTTAATTATTATTTTTGTTTATACGATTGTATTACATTGTAAAATATCGCTCGAAAAAAAATTAAAAAACTAATAAAGGAAATTTACTTTATTGATTATTATTAAAGAAACATAAAAATTCCAATCTTGTTTATTACATCTTTCTTATTATTACATTTTATTTAAATTCCACTTTTTTTTTAGTTTTGTTGTTTCAAATTTTAGCACTTCATATTATCAACTTTTCAATTAAGGCGGTAAGTAATAAAAAATATGATTTTACGTGATATATCAAACTTTAAATATTCCTACAAACCGTATTTATTGGAGTTAAGAAACGGTTTATATATCATATTAAAGTTTAAAGTCTCCTTTTTAATTTGGTATAAGAATTATTTCATAGTTCATATAAATTCAAAAGTTACAACTTTTTTAAATTTCATTGATTTCTCAGAGAAATATCAAATTAAAACTTAATGTTTAAACATTCGTGCCAGCCGTATTTATTGGATTTAAGAAACGATTTATATATCATATTAAAGTTTAAAGTCTCCTTTTTAATTTGGTATAAGAATTATTGCATAATTCATATAAATTCAAAAGTTACAACTTTTTAAAGTTTCATTGATTTTTCAGAGAAATATCAAATTAAAACTTAATGTTTAAACATTTGTGCCAGCCCTATTTATTGAAAATAAGAAATGATTTATATATCATATTAAAGTTTAAAGTCTACTTTTTAATTTGGTATAAGGATTATTTCATAGTTCTTATAAATTCAAAAATTATAACTTTTTAACGTTACATTGATTTACAAGAGAAATTTCAAATTTCACCCTTAACTTTAAAAATCTATACAAACTGTATTTGTTGGAAATAAGAAACAATTTACATATCATATTAAAGTTTAAAGTCTCCTTTTTAATTTGGTATAAGAATTATTTCATAATTCATATAAATTCAAAAGTTACAACTTTTTAAAGTTTCATTGATTTTTCAGAGAAATATCAAATTAAAACTTAATGTTTAAACATTCGTGCCAGCCGTATTTATTGAAAATAAGAAACGATTTATATATCATATTAAAGTTTAAAGTCTCCTTTTTAATTTGGTATAAGAATTATTTCATAGTTCATATAAATTCAAAAGTTACAACTTTTTAAAGTTTCATTGATTTTTCAGAGAAATATCAAATTAAAACTTAATGTTTAAACATTTGTGTCAGCCGTATTTATTGAAAATAAGAAATGATTTATATATCATATTAAAGTTTAAAGTCTCCTTTTTAATTTGGTATAAAAATTATTTCATAGTTCATATAAATTCAAAAGTTACAACTTTTTAACTTTACATTGATTTACAAGGGAAATTTCCAATTTCACCCTTAACTTTAAAAATCTATACAAACTGTATTTGCTGGAATTAAGAAACGATTTATATATCATATTAAAGTTTAAAGTCTCCTTTTTAATTTGGTATAAGAATTATTGCATATTTCATATAAATTCAAAAGTTACAACTTTTTAAAGTTTCATTGATTTTTCAGAGAAATATCAAATTAAAACTTAATGTTTAAACATTTGTGCCAGCCGTATTTATTGAAAATAGGAAATGATTTATATATCATATTAAAGTTTAAAGTATCCTTTTTAATTTGGTATAAGAATTATTTCATAGTTCATATACATTCAAAAGTTATAACTTTTTAACGTTACATTGATTTACAAGGGAAATTTCAACTTTCACCCTTAACTTTAAAAATCTGTACAAACTGTATTTGTTGGAATTAAGAAACGATTTATACATCATATTAAAGTTTAAAGTCTCCTTTTTAATTTGGTGTAAGAATTACTTCATAGTTTATATAAAGTCAAAAGTTACAACATTTTAAAGTTACATTGATTCTCAAGAGAAATATCAAATTAAAATTCAAAGTTTAAAAATCCATACAAGTGGTATTTAGTGGAATTAAGAAACGATTTGTATATCATATTAAAGTTTAAAGTCTACTTTTTAATTTGGTATAAGAATTATTTCATAATTCTTATAAATTCCAAAGTTACAACTTTTTAACGTTACATTGATTTACAAGAGAAATTTCAAATTTCACCCTTAACTTTAAAAATCTATACAAACTGTATTTGTTGAAATTAAGAAACGATTTATATATCATATTAAAGTTTAAAGTCTCCTTTTTAATTTGGTATAAGAATTATTTCATAGTTTATATAAATTCTAAAGTTACAACTTTTTAAAGTTGCATTGATTTTTAAAAGAAATATCAAATTTCACTATTAACTTTAAAAATGTGTACTAGCTGTATTTTTTGGAAATAAGAAACAATTTATATATGATATTAAAGTTTAAAGTCTCCTTTCTAATTTGTTATAAGTATTATTTAATAGTTCATATAAATTCATGAGTTACAATCTTTTAAAGATTATATTGATTTTCAAGAGAAATATCAAATTTTAACCCAAACTTTAAAAATGTGTACAAGTCGTGTTTGTTGGAAATAAGAAACGATTTATGTACCACATTAATGTATAAAGCCCCTTTCTTAATTGATTATAACAGTCGTTTCATAAAATTTTATGAATAATATTTAAAGTTCTCATCAATTTTCGTCAACAAATTGTGGATGACGCTTTTAATGAATTTAATGCACTTTACATGTTATAAGATAGCTGCGCCATCTCTTAATCGTAGAGCTAACTATCAAGTGCTTGTAATATATTTGTGAATATTCTTGAATTTTGCTTTAATCAGTTATTTTGAATTATGGTGAGTTTTTTAATTTGTTACATGTCAACATTGATACAAAAATATTTTTTGGTGTTTATCAAAATAGCTTCATCTTACTTTCCAGAGATAAGAAAAATTAATAAAATTAAAAGGGGCAATTGCCAAAATATTCAACAACTTTGGAATATGAGATATATATGAGAATTGAGTCACAAGAGAATTGACGGATAAACTGTTATGTAAAAGAGTTTAGGAATAATGATCCTGGGAAATATGAGAGGTTATCTAAAGACTTGGTATTTAGGAACTTTGTAGAAACTCTACCGGTTTCGATCTATTACAATCATCCTCAGGAGTTAAGATAAAAATTTTTTGATACAAATATTTATATATATTATAAAATAACTATTTTAAGAAACATATTTTCTTCTAAAAATATTTTGCTGTGTTAAAAGAAATCTTGATACACCCAAAAAAATAAAAATTACTATTTTGGTTTACGCACAATGTGCCTTTACGATCGACGTTTTTCGCCTATCTTTTCTTATTTGTCATACCTCATCCTTTCCACCCTCTAAAAAAAAAAAACATCACCACCCCCGCGATACGAAATCTTCTTCTGCGCCGAGTTTCGCGTCGGCAACGTGCTCTGCAATACTTTTTCCAGATGAAATAAAACAAATGGGGCATAATACGGAGCCAGAGATACGCGAAACCGGGATTTTCCCGGAATGAATGGGGGCGGGGGAGGTTGGAGAGGGTTCTAAGGAAAGCTTGTACGCTGGATAATCCGTTTAGGTTGTTATGTTTTTCAAAGAGGGGTGAAAACTCCACCCAAGTAATTTTTTTTGTTTATTATTAATAAGAAAATGTATGAATAATTTATAAGAAATTAAGGGGGAAATAAAATGGTATTATATCGATGAGGGTTATTACAAGAAATAGTAACATTGTAAAAGCAAAAGATTTTTATTACTAAAATTGCGTCTATAAATAAATGTGTGTCACAAATCGAGAAAGAAAATTAACGAAAATTATCATATTAACGCGGAAAAAGAAGAATTTGTCACGGTAAATGCATGTAACCCGCAATTATTAGCAATAACATCAGTTTTAAATGTACGACACATGCGAGTTTGTTTAAATTTACGACACAATTAGCGGTGTATAAAAATATTCGTTAACACATCGATATTATAATTATTTTTTTGATGTAATCAAAATCTCCGACAAGAACAAACTTAATTTAACGAGTTGTAAAGTAAATAAATTCTTCGGTAAAAATAGATACTTCAACGTAAGCATTTGCTAAAAGCCCACTTTGGTTGATTGGGTTTTGTCTGGAGATTCAAATAAAATCAAATAAATTTAAGGTGTTCCCCAATTTCTTTAAGTTGTACTTGCAAAGAATTAAATCCATTTCATTTCTTATTTTTATCGTTGAAAGAGACCACTCGAAATTTTCATCATTAATCTCCAATCATATTTATATATATATATATACAGGGTGTCTCACGTAACTGGTTCGTTAGAACTTTTTAAGGTTCCACTATTCGTAGTGGTTTGAAATTTTGGTAGCATGGGTTGTTCATTCTAAACTTTCGATCTAAAATATTTTCAAGATGGCCACCTCTTCCGGTCTACCGGAAGTAGACCACAAGTAACAACAACAATAACACAAATATAGAACAAAACCTGTCAAAATTCCATGGCCTTCTAATAAAAAATCAAACGTTTTCCCGCATTCCGTGCATGCTTTGATTAATTTCCCAATATCAGGGAAACTACAATAAATAGGTATACTAATCTTTATAGATAATTTGTAGAGAATTAAATTCCCTTTCTGATAGGCTAAAAAAATACGGGGCATTCCATTTAAAATTTTCGACTTTCTAGCCATTGAATATGGAGAAACGGTAATTCAATTTTTGACCAACCTGTATAAGGTACTCTGATACAAGAAATGACAATCTATTTGACAACATCTGAAGAGTAATCGTGCCAATTTAGAGGTTTTTTTAATGAACGTTAACTGAGATATGGGCTTTTAAAGAGCATGGTGAAATTTGCCAAAAAAAGCTTCAAATCAAAATAACTTGAAAACAAAAAATGCTAGGTACCAACAACTTTTATCAAAGTCAACATATTTTTTTACGTATAATTGAAAGGTGTAATAAAAACTATAGCATTCCATTTAAAATAACGAAGTTGTGGTCTACTTCCGGTAGATCGGAAGTGGTGGCCATCTTGAAAATATTTTAGATTGAAAGTTTAGAATGAACAACCCATACTACCAAAATTTCAAACCTCTACGAATAGTGGAACCTAAAAAAGTTCTAACGAACCAGTTACGTGAGACACCCTGTATATAAATATAAATAATCCTATATTTTTATTGGATTATTGAATAAACAAAAAAAAAGTTGTAATTATGAATTTATTTATATAGAACACATATTCATTGATCATAGTAGGTCGGGTATGTTTATGACAGTAGAAATTTAAACCACCTTTATACAGGGTGTCTCAGCGACACCGGTCATTAGACGTTTCTGGGGTTTTGGCTACACAAAAAATTTGAGAATGCAGACTCAAGTATTATCAATTACGTTCTCTTCATCTAAAATATTTTCAGATTTCTAGCACTTCCGGTTATACCGAAAGTCGCCACCTACTTTTTTTTTTTAATGGAACACTCTGTATATTTTTACATATTTCGATTTATCTGTTTTGAAGGTTTATAAATAACTTTACTTTTTGCAATTTGAACCAGCAATTCTCGAGTTATTCGAATTTTTCTAGAAAAATTTGCTCCAGCGGACATTTGTTCAAAAAATCATAGAACACTCAATTTTTGAGACATCAAGTTAGGATTGAGAACATGCTTAAACAACATGATGGAGTATGTTTTGGTGCGGAGAACGGCTGTCTAGATCGTTTGGTCACTTTACTATGACACGTTAACTTTTCGAAATTTGGAAGCACCATAACTTCATTTTTTTAAATGGCACCCCCCATATTTTATTACTTAGTCGTCTTCGGCGTCTCATTTTACATCTTTTATATTCCATATGTCCTATGCCTAACATTAATAGTTTGAGAAATAATTAGGGTTTTTTGAAAAATGCTCACATATCATATCGATATTAACTTAGTGTGCCATGAAAAACAAGCCTTCTCAATGAGTTCTTGTCAAAGACTCACTTGTTTACGTCACTTGATGCATGTGAGCTAATAATTATCTGTTATGTCCAGTACTGAAACGAGTTAAAATCGATAACAATAACGAAAGTAATATTTACACAAAAGCGCATAAAATAATACTTATTTTATGCTTAATTGACAATACTTAAGTTTGAATTCTCAAATTTTTATTTTCGCCAGAACCCCAGAAACGTCTAATGACCGGTCTCGCTGAGACACCCTGTATATTCTCCGCCAAGTATAAAAATTGAAAAAAATCATGTCAGAAAATATACGAAATTAAGCAACGAGCAGCGATTTACAATATCTGCTGAAGAACGTAAGCAATGAAAAGCTGAAACAAGCAGTGCAGCACCAAACTCAACGTTTGTACGCGGACAATAAACTCTTGTACAGCTAACGTCGTCCCAAAGAAAAAAGGAAATTCTGGAAGGAAACGTAAAGACAGAGAAGGTATAAAAAAGAAAATCTCGGAAGTTTTAACCATCCGCAGTCTTTGTAACAATATTAACGAGTCATTGGGAACAGTGCACAGAATTTTGAAGCGTCGATTAGAATTTGCACTTTGTATGTTACAAGAACCTAGCCTATATTTTCAAGAAATGTTAGAGTTTGTTCATATTGATGAAAAATAGGTTTTATCTACGACTGCTTGGATAAGTCATCATTACCGCACTCATTTGAGGTAATTTGAGTTACGTAATGAAGTTCATTACCGCACTGGTTTCATTACGTAACGCATTTTTAGCCTAATCAGAACAGACTTAATTTATTGAAACGAGCAACAAAGAAAAGAAAAAGTGCTATCTACTTACAGAGAAACAATACTATTTATTATAAACATTAATTGTTATGTTTTTTACATTTCTAAACACTTATTCCTGATGAGTAAACATGTTGAAACTGACAATTCAAAATTGTCAACAAACATTGTCAAATAGACTTTTTTAAAGAAATTGATTTTTTAGTAATTTTTAGCAGTCGTAGATAAAATGCTGTATATCACACGTGGGCTAGAGCATAATTGCAGTATTTCGTAGTACCTCGTCGTGCAATTCTCCACACTCGTACAGTAATTATGTTTCTAGCCCACTTGTAATATAAATAACTATTACATAACCAAAACTAACAATAAGACAAACTACTTCTTCCCGAAGAAGAAACACCTCATCGAACATGTAAGAGTAAAAGATTCTTAACAAAACTCATGTTTCTAGCTGCAATGGCTCGTCCAAGATATGATTACAACAAAAAGTCTGAATTTAATGGTAAAATAGGCTTTTTGTAACTTAAGAACCAGCAAATCGAAATTCTAAAAATCGTGTACGTGGGACATTAGTGACAACACCTGTTGAAGTTACTCGCCAAATTTATGTGGACATGATTACCAAAAAAGTTATTCCAGCTATAAAAGGGTAGCAAAAAGATACCCATCAAAATTCAACAAGATAATGCCCGACCACATTGTAGTATAGATGATGGTGAAGTAATTCGGGCCGGAACAGCAGATGCCCTGACTTTAATGTTCGTGATTTAGGCATTTTTAATGCAATTCAGTCTATATAGCATTAAAGGTCGATGCATAATATAGATGAATTAATTGCTGCTGTTTTGAAGGCATGGGATGATACACTTGCATATAAATTAGACAATGTTTTTATGACACTGCAGAAATGTATGCTGCAGAAAGGAGGTAACAATTACCAAATTCCTCACACAGAGAAAGAAAAATTACCGTCTACTGGACAATTACAAAGAAATGTAATTTGTTCAAAAGAAGCTGTTGAAACTGCACGGATGGCATTAAATAGTTTGTCCACGACTACCTTATAATATATACCTTATGAATGAGTTTTCTAAAACAAAATGGTAGTCATTTTTCACGGAGTGAATAATAGCGGTGAATAATAATCATTATTCACGGGCATTCACGGGTAGCCAACTTGACAGACTAATAAATATGATTTGAAACGTTAAAATTTCAAAAAACGTCAATTTAATTCAATTTTTTAGGAGTTTCTAAAGGTTTGACATTAAAAAAACCTAAACAAATTCCTACTACTCAGGTTAATTATGCCACTCGCTACGCTCGTGACATAAACTTAACCTTCGTGAATAATAGCTCTCATTATATGCTCATATAATAATATACTATTATAATTTTTATTTAAATTATGCTATAAAAAAAAATTGGTTCAATTATAATTTAATACAGTTCTGTTAATAAATTAAAATATAGTATAGTTCATTTTTTTTCTATAATACCTGTCAAATTGTTGTAAAGTTAGCAAAATTAACAGGGAGTTTTGTTATAACATGTTTTTAAAATTAATATGTCACAATGACGTTTGAGCTTTCGTTATTCAAAAAGAAAACGTGCATAAAAAATGTTATGGTGTGTTTATTTGCCATTTATTTACCTAGAAAACGTATTTTGTTCTATTTAATTACTTTGTAGCACTCTTTTACAACAAATATGTACTTCGTTAAAATCGTATTTATCTAAAAATTTATTAGTGTTTTAACTTGAACTATTTAGTTACTGAAAATGTTACTAAAAATCAGGAAAACAACATAAATTTTATAAGGGTCCTAGATAATACCAACAGAAACCCTAAAAAATTTACATTGACAAGTATTATAGAAAAAAAGCGAAGTATACGTACTTATATTTCTTTTTTTAAAAGTTGACACTTATTTTGGAACAGAGGTAGTATCATTTTTTACGTCACTTTTTTATAACTAGTGATGTAATGATTTCATTATATCCCTAGTGATGTAATGAATGGAGTTCCTAACTACAAATTGACATCTGTCACTAAAAAATTGCTTCTTTTTCAATGGAATTAGATAAAATTTTGTACTTAACACTTTATGAAAGTGCTAATTTTGTCTTTTCATAACTGTCACATATATATATATATATATATATATATAAATGTGAATAAGTTGAGTGTAGATCTTTTAAATTAATTTTTTTTACATGGTATACACGAATGTGTATAGTAGACGAAGAGGAGGAATGGGGGGAAGTTAGGGGTTCGAGGTTTTCGGGGACGTTGGGGGGTTTGGCGGGACGAAGTCCTAAAACTTTTACAATCGAGGGCGGCCGGTACACCGGCGACGCCGGCTCGCTTGATGGCCCATCTTCCAATGTGAGTTCCCATGGCATAACGCTAAGATGTATACGGCTGCGCTACCAATCCCCCTTCATCCCGCACCACGTCCCTGTGCTCTCCCCGCGGTACGGACGACGCCTGTCGAACGCCCCGGTTCCTATGCAATCCCGCTATCGCATACTCCATACCTCCATATACCTTCTCTTAAGGTAAACGTAAATGGGGAAAAAGTGTCTATGAAGAGAAGAGAAAAGAAGATAATTTTTGTGACAAAAAGAATTGAGTTGATTAGAAAGATAAGATTTTAAAACCAAGGGGTGCTCCATAACCAGTTGAAAATTGAAGATTTAAGAATTACAATTGAATGAAGGTAAGTTAAAAAATTTAATTATTTCCTTATTTATTTAATTCATTTCAATTTTAAAACAAATTTTGTTACATATATATTAATATAATATTTTTTTAAAAATTTAATTTAAAAAATGTAACTCAACATTGTTTAATTGTTATTCATGGACATTGTAAAACGTGGAGACTACATTCGTGTCTGGGTAAAGAGAGATCAAGATGTCTGGGTGTGGGTGTCGACCTCGGTTATGAATTATGTATGTTTGGGTGGCCCCGCTTCTCCTCGTACTTGTACTCGGTTTGGGGGGAAACGTTCCAGGGGGGAAACCGTCTAGAAGGGGTCTTTAAATCACTGTTAAGGACTTCGAATTTAGGTTACTAAGAAAGTTTTCGAAAACTCTTATTTTTCGTTTATCATTAAAATTAATTTAATAAAAAATATTATTAATACATTGATAAGTAAGTATTATATTAATGTACTACCGGTTTCGGATTTTTCTATCATCAGGAGAATCAATAATTTTTTTAAATATTTTGGTTAAATTTTTTAAACCAAAATGTTAATGTTAATAAAAAACCAGAGTTTAAGATTCAATTTAATCAAAAAATCGCTTCTTTATTTCTAAAAATAAAGTTAGGACGATTTTTTTTTAATTTTAACCATTTTTGTTAATTCTAATCAAAAAACACACTTCAACATTTTTAACGTTTTCGATCAAAATTTCTTAAGGAGTATATTGATTATTATATACCACCTTAAAATATAGACTTTTAGCTTCAATTTAATCCAAAAATCGTTTCTTTATTCCTACAAATAAAGTCAAAATGATTGTTTGAACTTTAAGAATTTTTTTAATGTTGTCAAAAATAAAGACTTAAATATCATTAAGGATTTGAGATGGAATTTAAATGATGTTAACGGTATGTATATAGCATCTTAAAATATGGACTTTTAGCTTCAATTTAATTCAAAAATCGCTTCTTTATTCCTAAAAATAAAGTAAGGACGATTTTTTCAAATTTTAACTATTTTTGTTAATTCTAATCAAAAAACAGACGTCAACATTTTTGGAGTTTTCGATCAAAATGTCATAATTAATATACAAATTATTATATACCATTTTAAAATATAGACATTTAGCTTCAGTTTAATCCAAAAATCGTTTCTTTATTCCTAAAAATAAAGATAATACGATTTTTTTTAATTTTTACCATTTTTGTCAATTCTAACCAAAAAACATACTTTAATATTTTCAGGATTTTCGATCAAAATTTCATAATTAATATATAGATTATTATATACCATTTAAAAATATAGACTTTTAGCTTCAATTTAATCCAAAAATCGTTTCTTTATTCCTATAAATAAAGATAATACGATTTTTTAAAATTTTTACAATTTTTGTTAATTCTAACCAAAAAACAGACTTCAATATTTTTGGGGTTTTCGATCAAAATTTCATAATTAATATATAGATTATTATATACCATTTTAAAATATAGACTTTTAGCTTCAATTTAATCCAAAAATCGTTTCTTTATTCCTAAAAATAAAGATAATACGATTTTTTTTAATTATTACCATTTTTGTTAATTCTAACCAAAAAACAGACTTCAATATTTTTGGGGTTTTCGATCAAAATTTCATAATTAATATATAGATTCTTATATACCATTTTAAAATATAGACCCTTAGCTTCAATTTGAACCAAAAATCGTTTCTTTATTCCTAAAAATAAAGATAATACGATTTTTTAAAATTTTTACCATTTTTGTTAATTCTAACCAAAAAACAGACTTCAATATTTTCAGGATTTTCGATCAAAATTTCATAATTAATGTATAGATTTTTATATACCATTTTAAAATATAGGCTTTTAGCTTCAATTTAATCTAAAAATCATTTCTTTATTCCTAAAAATAAAGTTAGGGTGATTTTTTTTAATTTTTACATTTTTTGTTAATTCTAACCAAAAAATAGACTTTAATATTTTTAGGGTTTTCGATCAAAATTTCATAATTAATATATAGATTATTATATACCATTTTAAAATATAGACTTTTAGCTTCAATTTAATCCAAAAATCGTTTCTTTATTCCTATAAATAAAGATAATACGATTTTTTAAAATTTTTACTATTTTTGTTAATTCTAACCAAAAAACAGACTTCAATATTTTTGGGGTTTTCGATCAAAATTTCATAATTAATATATAGATTATTATATACCATTTTAAAATATAGACTTTTAGCTTCAATTTAAAGCAAAAATCGTTTCTTTATTCCTAAAAATAAAGTAAGGACGATTTTTTTTAATTTTAACCATTTTTGTTAATTCAACCAAAAAACAGACTTCAATATTTTTAGGACTTTCGATCAAAATTTCATAATTAATATATAGATTATTATATACCATTTTAAAATATAGACTTTTAGCTTCAATTTAATCTAAAAATCATACCTTTATTCCTAAAAATAAAGTTATTGTGATTTTTTTTAATTTTTACAATTTTTGTTAATTCTAACCAAAAAACAGACTTCAATATTTTTAGGATTTTCGATCAAAATTTCATAATTAATATATAGATTATTATGTACCATTTTAAAATATAGACTTTTAGCTTCAATTTAATGTAAAAATCATTTCTTTATTCCTAAAAATAAAGATAATATTAATTTTTTAAATTTTAACCATTTTTGTTAATTCAACCAAAAAACAGACCTCAATATGTTTGGGGTTTTCAATCAAAATTTCATAATTAATATATAGATTATTATATACCATTTTAAAATATAGACTTTTAGCTTCAATTTAATCCAAAAATAGTTTCTTAATTCTTAAAAATAAAGTTAAGATAGACTTCTAGCTTTGATTTAACAAAAAAGTTATTTTTATCTTACTGCAAATAATGTCGGTGGACCATAAATTTGTCAAAGGAAAATAAAAGCAACCCTTTTATCTCCACCGGAAAATCAATGAAGACTTAATTTTCCGCCCGTTTTCCCGATAACGAAACGAACCCCCTTCCCCCTCCCAAAGGGATCCATAACTATTAGCTTGTTGCTCCCCTTCAACAACCTAATTGCTATTCGAAATCAAATTCCTTTTTATTTAATTATTATTAATTTATTTTTCAACACGGTTAAGTTAAAAAAACTCTTACAACGCTGAAGATCGATGACCAACCCCCTTCTTTCGTCGTCGTAATACAGAACGAGACATCACACTCGCACTCCTTTTACTCCCCTCACCCAGAGTTTCTCTGGATCTGAAATCAACCCTCCCACCCTGAAAACCGTGTACAGGCGGCCATCTTGATGTTATATGTGAAACCCGGATGAGGGGATGAAATTTTTAGAGGGTGTGGGTAATTGTTGGTTAAAGAGACTTTTTTATGAATGGGGGAAAGATCATTAATTATTTTTAATTATTTTTTTATTATAAGGTTAAAAACTTGATTAGGTGATAAAATCGATAATAAATAATAATTAAATAAGACCTTATTGAATACTTTACCATCATTAATGTTCGTTTCTTTTGATTTTCCACTTTCGATATTTATTTTGATCAAGACACGACACTCAATTTAATTAACAGAAATTTCGAAACCGCAAAAACCTCTCGATTTAACCGCGAAAATCGTTACCGGCGGTTCAGATTGTATTTAATAGAGACGAATAAGTTAAAGGTGGTTTGGGAAACCGAACCTAACTTCGCCCCGAACCATGACCTACTGAATAAATTCCCGTTTAACAAAACGGGTCGCCCCCACGATTCCCGCAGTAATACTCTCTCTCTACGAGCCCTTCATTCTCCACAACCGTTTCTGAACAACCATTTCTTTTTTTTTTTTCGATGTGGTTGGGTTGTTAGAAAGTTTTACCCCGGGAGCAAAAAAAAGGAGAAAGCTGAAAGGGGTTGTTTGCATAATAAGATTCAAAGATAACCTGAAAAGGGACAACTTTCACAATTTTTTTTTTTCTTGAGGTTTGTTTTGTGACAAAAAGTTGGGGAAGATAACGGGAGATTTAGTAACGGCAAAAATACTAAATCTTTTTTTATTTTTGATATATTAGTACTACAGATTGTCATCAGATGCCGAAGAGAAACTTGCTATGGTTTGATGACCAATGAAGACGCTAAATAGATCTAAGAGAATTATTAAACTTATTGGCAGTATCTCAGAGTTTCTGTTCTTTATCAAAGAGTCTTCCAACTTGTTGGCAGCATGAGCTACTACATCTAAAAAGTTATAACTTCTCTTATAGGCTGTCAACTTATTGGCAGCATGAGCTATTGCATCTCAGAGTTTTTGTTCTCTATCGAAGAGTCTACCAACTTGTTGGCGGCATGAGCTACTACATCTAGATGGTTGTAACTTCCCTTATAGACTGCCAAATTGTTGGCAGCATGAGCTATTGCATCTCTGAGTTTCTATTCTACAGGTGTCCGTAAATGACGTGCATAAAAAGTTGCTTAGTGAAAATTCAGGATGAATCAAAGATTTTTCAATGAAAAAGACAAGAAAGCAGTTGGTTCCAAAAATTTCGACAGGAAATGTTTCAACCTGATGAGATCATCTTCAAAAGTGTGATGATCTCATAATCTTAGAGGTGTTGAGAAAAAAAATGAAAGAATTTTTGTAGGTAATAGATCTTAATAGATGGCGCTACTAAAACCAAAAGAATTAAGTAACGATTTTCATTTTATTTAAAACTAATGAGTTTGAAATGTTTATCTTGTTAAGAATAAAGTTAATTTTTTTTTTAAATCTTGAAACCGGTAGTTTTAAAAACGAAAAGGTGTAAAATAAATGCATAAATGCAAATTTGTTGTTTTCGAATACGAAAATGCAAAGAATAACAGCAGCGGTTTAAGAGGCGGTTCCAAAAACCTCGAAAGCAATTAAAATCGAGGGTCTTCCCTCCGCGTGAAACCGTGGAGGGGTGGTTTATGGTTTTTCTTCGTCCTAAAACCCACCATATTTCAAACGAATCAGTAAATGTGTGATCGCTAAATAGA